GCGGGGGGCCATCACCCGCAGAGGTCCCCCCGCCCGCAGCCGACGCAGAGGCAGCAGGAGCAGCAGCGGGAGGGGGGCGGCGCGCCCCAGGACAAGCAACAGCAGCGAGGTGCCGGCGCCCGCATCGCCCGCAGACGGGCCAGCATTCCCCAGTGTGGAAATTGCGACACTGGTGGCATTTGTTGTTCCGCTCTGTATCCATATTAGCTTGTTGCCCTTTATCCAATTGCATTCTCGGGAAGGGTTGAATCGAATCAACAGACTTCTTTTGTTGGCGGGGACGGCGGGCGGGGCGGGGGCTGCAGGGGCAGCGACGGGAGGGTTGTTGGAGGCCCTATTATTGATGTCAATACAAAGATCCGCTTATTGGAGGCGAGTTCAACGTATGTGCTCACATTGTATGTTCGAAAAAAGCGCAAAGATTTTTGGGAACGGGAAAACAACATAGTCTCTACGGAGTACGACGCTCTTTTATTACTTGGGACTATGAATACTAGGAAAGGGCTGCTGCCAGCACTTGCTACCTTACAGTTGTGCTCTGCTATGAATGGGAAGGTGTGCATACACATTGATCCGCTACAATTGAGACAAAGACTTGCAGGAACGATTATGTCCACGCCTATTGTCTACCGGTATGAATATGATTAAGCAAGCTGTCTAGATTGTGACCCGACAAGCTAGCATTCATATTCAAACATGTTATGGCTCATTGCGAAAGTCGCTGAGGTGAATGATATATACATGAATAATACATACGGAGGCTCAGTTCCTTTCGTCGTTATCCTTCTTAGGCTTTTTGCCCCGACCGCGGCGCCGCTTGGTGGTGGCCCTGGTGGGCGGGTTGGCGCCCGCCCAGGAGGTAGTGGGGTGCAGATAGTAGGAATTATTGACAACCCCGGCGTACACATTGTACACCACCGTGGTTGGTGGCGATGCCTCCGATGCGGCCGGGGCCCGGGGCGGGAGGACTGCTTGCTGGGGGGCAGTCGCCGAGATGGCGACGCCCGCAGGTGTCACACAAGGGCCAGCAATCCCCTGGGTGGAATTTTCCAGAGATGTGACATAGTTTGCTGTCTATATCCAGGTATTAGTATTGCCACACTCCAGATGGTTCTCATGACGGTTGAATCAATATACGGACTTTTGGAAGCTGCACCAGCGGAGGGAGCCTGGGACTCTTCTGTGATTGGAGGCCTATAGCCCTATACCGATGTTTATCTGACTTCAGAAACATCCCATATATTCCGCAGCTTGTCTCATGTGAGCGCCATGTTGAGTCTTGAAGGGGCCGATCTCGTTCATTGCAATAAAAACATTGCCGGAGGTAGGCTTTCCTTCAAGGTAGTCGACATAGGATGCATCATATGGTGCCCAAACAAGGTAGATTTCATCTCGATCTTCGGCGACTAGAAGGCGTCTTAATGACACAGATCCAGCTGACAATGCCGAGTGGAAGTCAAGACTTACTGGTTGTCAAGGGGTACTTTGCACTCATCCTTGAGTATCCAAGCGACCATCTCAGCGGATTCTTGCATGTATATTTGGCGGCCTTTCTGGGTGCTCTTTTTCCGTTGATGGGTCTTGGTTTCCACAATGGCGAATTCTTCGTCGCCTCCCGTGGGTCCGTACAGATAGCCATCTGTGCGGGCCTCCATGCTGGCTTGACGGAACTTGACATTGAATGCGAGATGTGCTATACCCTACTTATACTTGTAGTCGGGGAGATTCAGGCTTACCGCGTCGAGAAATGATACCACCGCCATGTTGACACATTGCTCGTCGCGGTCTGAACGAATGACTGCTGCCACTTCTGCTCAGCCGCTGGTGTCGAATTGGAGTCAGATGTTGCCGTGTTGCTTTCGGTGGGTGTGCGGCCCTCTTGGGATTCTATGTCGGGCGTTCGGCTCATCCTAACGCTAGTCGACATTTCCCCTGCTTCTTGTTCTGGGATTCTTTGGTTAGCTTCCTATTGCCACTTGATGGCGCCCTGAAACACTCACAATCTGCCCGAAGTATCACTCTTGTCCTTGATTGACTGCAGGTCGGCTTCGAAGCCGTGGGAGAACCGTTTATTCTCTTTGGGCTCTCCGCCATGTCCATAAGATCGGTCTTTTTGATCGGTGCATGGGACCCACCGATGTTCTTTATCTTGGTACGTGGACGCCAAAAAATGCGGAATGTAAGGAATTGCTGGGGTGTGACCGAGGAACCAGCCCGCATCACATCGATCATGTTCCTGTCACGTCTATTGCTGCGTGCTCCCGGGCTAAACGGCCCAGTGAATAAGTTTGTGGGGATGGATCCGAATTCAGACATGATCGTTTCTAGGGAAGTGAATCTCAGAGTTGAAAAGGGTACTTGGACTTCTATTGTAGAAACATATTGTGTGCTGCTAAAATCGCGAGTGAATGGAGGAAGGAATCAAGGTGAGCGACATTCGAGGGCGACGGAAACTAGTTACTGAATGAAGGAAGGCGCTGAGCTACGTACATGCTTGTCGGATAGATATCTACCTTCCATTCCGGGAACCCTACCGCAAAACAAGAAGAAGAAATGCAGACTGTCAAGCAACATGTGTAGGAGCAATTTAACTGCTCACTGAAGCAGGAGTGAGCCCCACAAACCTCTCTTCAATTCTACCCTTACCTTACCTGACACAGAGGGTATTTGAGGTAAGCCCAATAGACATGCTAGTGAGGTAACACACAGTGACGGCGGTGCTGTTTCCTGTAAGTACGTGAACGATGGAAGCTTCTGTAGCTCTAGCAGTTCCCCCATCTCCACTTTATGTATACAGTTAAGGGATAGTGATACAGCGACCCCCTCTGGGGATATGGCAATACCATCTTGGACAGAGCAACACCCCGTTACCCAATCAGGTAGGTAAACAAGCATTATTTTTTGCGATAGGTGGAAGTCACTATAGTCCAAATTCAAGGCTTAAGAATACTAGTATCGAGATCATTGTCAGGAAGCCAGTACGACTTTGGTGAATCCTAATTTGATTCATGTATCAGGCTTGGTGTGTCTGGTTCGTCTTGACTCTTGACATAAAACCCTGTCATGGTGAGTTGACCCTTCCTGGCTCTTTTTAAATCCTGTATTCTGAGCGTCTTCAAACTCCAGCTCATCTATCAAGACCGTCATGGAGTACTGTACACCTTCATCGCCATTTCATCTCTAACTGGGGACGGCGGCGGACTTTTGTGGAATGAATTGAACTCTCCGCTCGTCCAAATCACGAAAACATCAGCTGAACCGATGGTAACGGGGAGGCACAAATCAGAATGTCACTATACATATAAGATATACGTAGATAATATGTACTATAGCTCAGTTGGAGCTTGTATTGGCGTCCTTCTCGGCGTCCTGGACTCCTTGTTGGCTTCATCGGCGGCTTTCTTCGTGGTTTCTTGACAGGCAGGGGGCTGTCGCCTGCATGTCCGTCACCGTTGAAGGTGTAATTATTCACCAATCTTGGTGGCAGGCAGGTCAGCGGCGGCAGCAGGAGTCTCGTTCGACGGTTCGAGGTCTCGTTGATGTCAATCCAAAGATTCGCTGTGTGGGGAATCTCAACGTACGTACTCACATTGTATTATGCCCGAAAAGGCACCCAGAGAAGATTGTTTCTGAGATCCTGATTTTCCCCCGTTGGGATCGAAGAATGAGCGAGAATAGCGAGGAATTTGCCACCTCGACGCTCATGCAGAACATGGTCGAGGGAGTGCTCTGTGGCTATTAGTCACTGAACACATTGCAGCTCAATTGAATGGTGTACTTGCAGTCTTAAGCACTGCCTCTGACATAGAGGTACGTCCAAGTAAGCCAGGAGTGGTTGACAGTCTTCACAGGGCGAAGAGTCAAACGGAAGTATTGCTGGTTCTACTAGCAGGACAGCCCTATTTGGCATCAAGGTCATTGCGGTAGTTCACCCAAAGGGCAGTTCTGCTCCCAGGCCGCCTTGTGAGTATTACAATTCCAGACCTTCTTGATGACAGGATTCTCCTCAACACTGTTTCTGATTTGCACCGTTGCCTTTGTTAGCAAGATGGAGCTCCACGAACCATCTTGTTTGTTTGATGGAGGACAGGATATACTTACATCGTACTGGTAGACATTGCGAGCAGGAAACTTGGGGAGTAGGTGGCCAGCATGCCCCTGGGTGGGATTTCGCACACTTGCCACATTTGCGCCGCTCTATAACTGAGCATTAGTACTAGCATCCTTTATATGCTTCTCATGACGGTCGAATCAATATGCTTCTTTTATTGGCGGGTGGGGCCGGGCAGGAGGGTGGCATTTACCAGCGAGATGCCAGCGCCCGCAGAGGACGCAGACTGAACAAAACAGAGACGGTGGTATTCACCACCGCAGGGGCTTGTTGGTAGGAGTGTGTGTGGGACAGTGGTAACTGTTAAAATGACGTGGAGGATGGGGAAGTCCTATATTGATGTTAGTCCAAAGATTCGTTCTTGAAGCCAGCTCAACGTATATACTCCCATTGTTCTGGTGTGACAGATGATTCAAGAGATTTTGAGATTTCTGGAGTGCAACAGGAAAAGGACATGGGCAACGGGCTCTACCACACTCTTTTATTACTTGGGATACAAATTCTAGGAAACTGTTACGGCCACCACACTTGTGACGATGTTCTATTCTATGAGCATAACCAACATTTCTGAGGAAACAGCTCATAGTCGACACTCGACACTACGTCGCATGAAGAGGACAGCTCCAGGAAACCAGAAGAGATATCGTCTGAAGCTGTATCGAGACCTTGTCCACATCATCAAGCGCATTAAGTTTCCGCCCTCTGTGCTATGTAATATGACTGTAGTTTAACTTCTTTTACCTACTCAGCAAGCCAAGCTCATTCAGGGCACTTTTTGATCAAGACTTAGCTTAGTATTGAGAGCAAGTCGCTGTAAGACGTTCAGCATCTACGTAGACAAATAACCTTACGAGCAGGGCTGACATCCGCCCAAACTGTATAATGAACAACACAAGCGTCTCACAGATCGAGTTTTCCAGAAACGATTGGCTTCCTGGTTAGGGAATTCTTGGGAATCAGCTAGGAAAAGTCGAGCTGGATTGCCACTATACTCAAACATGATTGATTCAGACATGCAATCTCGCAATACTGCCGGAACGCTCTATGGAATGAAGATGTTTACCTGGACAAAAATTAAGAACATTATCGACGCCACGGACGAAGTATCATTGAGAGAGGTGACATTGCATCACAATGCTTCCCAATATCGAGGTCACTTCTCGATGTCAACTCATACGTTGAGGACTACGTGCGCTATTCTATCCAGCAGTAGACTACAATGAAAGGAATGCTCGAATCACTGATTCAATCGATTAAATTACTGCGTATGTCATATATCAAACCGGTCAGCCAAAAAGGTGTTCACACAACCATCTCTAGAAGTAGGGATGATAGCAGTAGGATCAACGCACCAGGAATACAACAATATACATGAATTATATGTATCTGGTTAATGATATAGGCTCACTCAGAGCTGGGCTTGTCTCCCTCGGCCTCCCCCTTCTTCTCCCCCCTCTCAGCTTCATCCTCGTTCTTCTTCTCTTCCTTCTTCTTGGCCTTATCGGGCCGCTTTCTTCTTGTTGGCTTCTTGCCAGGCGGGGGCGGGGCGTCGCCTGCAGATGGGGTGTGAGCGGATATGGTGATGGCATGGCCATCACTGTTGATGGTGATATTCACCACCGTTGGTGCCTGGCGGCGGGAGGCAGGGCGACAGGGGTTATCGGCCGGGTGCCGGCGCCGCAAGATTTTGCGTTCTATATCCAGGTATTAGATTGACACTCTTCAGATGCTTCTTCATGAAGGTTGAATCAATATACTGACTGTTGGTGGCGGGCGCAGGCAGGCAGTCGCCAAGATGGCGACGCCCACAAGCGTCACAAATTGGCCAGCATTCCCCTGTGTGGAAGTTTCCACACTGCCGGCATCTTCTCCGCTCTATCTATATATGAGCATTGCCACTAGGAGTTTCTCATCAAGGTTGAATCGATATACTAACTCTTGAAAGCAAGGACAGGGGCCGGAGCAAGCGCAGGAGGAGGGGCGGGCTCAGAAGGAATTGACGACCCCCGGCCGTAGATAATCACTGATGTAATTAATGAAAATTACTTCTATACATGAATAATGGATACGGAGGCTCATTTGTGGCCCTCTCCCTTGTCCTCCTTGGGCTTCTTGCCGCGGCCGCGGCGGCGCCTGCTGGCGGCCCTGGTGGGCTGGTTGGCGGGAGGGCCCGGGGCGCCCGCCCAGGGAGGTGGTGGGGGCCGGACAGAAGGAGTACACAACCCCGCCGTATATGTTAAACACCACGGTACCAACTGGTACCACCGCCGAAGCGGCCGGGGCGGGAGCTGGCTTGCGTGGGGGGGCCCTTGGCGGGGGGCAGTCGCCAAGATGGCGACGCCCACAGGCGTCACAAGTTGGCCAGCAATCCCCCTTGTGGAAGTTTCCACACTCCCCGCACCTTCGCCGCTCTATATCTATGTTAGCATTGCCACTAGATGCTTCTTGTGAAGGTTGAATTGATATACTGACTCTTAGAAGCAGGGGCGGGGTCTGGAGCATCGGCAGGAGGAGGAGGCAGAGGAGGGGGGGCCGGCCGAAGCCGCCGCAAGTGGTTCCTCAGAGATTGGAGGGGGCCTATATGATGTTAGATATGCATTCATCCAATCGAAAAGTCATTATTGGGGCCAGCTCAACGTATGTACTCACATTTTAGTTTGTCCTTGTGGACGTGAAAAAAATGCTAAGATTTTTGTGTAGTGAGATGGAAATAGAGTCCTTAACGAGAATGGAAGAGATGAGAGAGAGAGAGAGAGAGAGAGAGAGAGAGAGAGAGAGAGAGAGAAGATGCGTCTGCTACGAAGGGGGTACTGCTAGAGCTACGGAGGCTTCCATCATTCACTCAACCACAGGAAGGTGCGCATTCACGTAGCAAACAGGCAACAACGTTCAATTCAGGAATACTCGCCTGCCTTAGGAAGGAACGCCCGTGTATTCCAAGAAAGTGAATGACGACATTTGAGCAACATGGATAGAGGCAATTCGAGTCCTCACAGAGTACCTACGCTTCGAAGACTCGGCGATTCCATTCTACCTGGTATGGATGGTAAAAGCGAATACAACGACGACACGGATGTAGGCTGGGGCAGGGAAAAAGACGGCGCTAATTCAACCCTTATGGATTTAAACGTAGCTCGAGGAGCTCAATGTCGCAGTGGGAGTTCTGACAGGTCTGATGGCTTGCTACAGTTGCTTTATGTGGTTAATGAAGACTCCAAATCTCGAGCGAGGGGGGTGTTTATAATGTGCACAAGAGAAGTGATGTCACTATATGCGGATATCAAATTCCATTTTTGTTAACAGTACTGCCTACTTCCACGGCTCAGCCCTCACTTAAAGAATCCTTCGCTATAGTCTATATGTTGTTTTCTCTCTTCCCGGCTGTACTACGTAGATGTCAGATTGCCGAGGGTGGTGGGGTTTACGGTTTACCTTCATCCTCGGAGACGATCCGAGATGATGTTTCCATAAATACGGAGGAGAACCTGAAGATTACGATAACTATTTGTAGAGATGGATTGAACTCAGTCCATGTGCGGCACAACTGGCACATTGAATCGTTCATACGACCTGACTCCCCGGCCTACTCGTCCTTGACCCCGACGGTCCGACCTTGAGAATATAGAACACCATGGCATCAAATCAGATTAACCGCAACAAAGTCTTTCCAGGAGGCATTCATGTCCCCTGTCTGACCTTCTTTCGAAGTAACCAACGCCAGGACATTGACTGGGACATACAAGAGAAGCATCTCTCATTTCTTATCCAGTCCGGTCTCCACGGAAGTACGTCCCACCTCCGCCGTCCCAAACCATACAAGGCTACAACCTAACAACTTCAACAGTCGTCCTCGCCGGCTCCAACGGCGAAGCAGTCACACTCTCAACCGCCGAAAAGACCTCGCTCGTCCAACTAACCCGCAAGCTCGCAGCCCGCCTCAACCGCCCAGACGTAACCATCACCCTCGGCTGCGGCGGCCAATCCACCCACCATGTCATCGATGAGACCATCGCAGCCCAGCAAGCCGGCGCCGATTTCGCCATGGTCCTAGTACCGAGCTACTACCATTTCGCCATGGACTCCGCCGCCATCGTGTCCTTCTTCGAAGAAGTCGCGGATCACAGTCCCATTCCCGTTATGGTGTACAATTACCCCGGTGTGGCGGCGGGGCTGGACGTCGACTCTGATATGCTGGTGAAGCTGAGCGCGCATCCGAATATCTCGGGAGCCAAGTTGACATGTGGAGGTATTGGGAAGGTTCCCCGTGTGACGGCCAATGCGGTGAGACCGTTCAGCGTGCTCGGTGGGCAGATTGACTGGATGGGGCCTGCGATGGCCGTTGGTGCTGTTGGAGCAATTACGGGGATGGCGAATTTGTACCCGAGGGTGAGTATCTTTTTCCAGGTCTGTTCATGGTGTGCTGATTGTGAGCTGGCGGTAGGCGTGTGTTGAGCTGTACGATCTCTACAAGGCTGGTAAGGTCCAGGCAGCAACGGAGCTCCAGCTGAAGGCTGCCACATCGGAATGGGCCTTTGCGAAAGGAGGAATCAACGGGAGCAAATGGGTCGTCGCCAAATTGCTGGGATATCCCGATGACAGCGCCGCTTGCCGAAGACCATATCCTCTCTTCGCAGATACAGCCAAACAAGAATGGATACTCGAGCTAGCCGGCAAGCTGAAGCCAGTTGAGGAGGAGCTGATCGAACGTGCACCATAGCGAGAATATCATCTCTTTATCGTACATAGCCTAATCAATCAGTCATATACATCAAGATATAGTACAAACCCTTCGTCCAACATCATACACATCAAACCATGAACCATCATCAACCAACCTCCCCTACAACCCCCTTCGCGCCTAACCGCCCCAAAACCCCCTTCTTCAACTTCAACATCCCCTCAATCTCCCCCAGACTCAACCCCTGCCGATCCCGCATCGTCAACGCCTGCCTTATCGTCCACGCATCCACAAACTCCCGCCCCGCAAACCCCGGCCGCCCAATCTGCTCCGCCTCTTCCTGCGCAGCCTTAGCAGCCGTCTGCCGCGCAGTGAGCACCAAGAGCGCCGGATTCGCTGCTGTCGGAAAGACGGGCTGGTTTTGGTTTTGTTGTTGGGTAGGACCGGGGTTAAACGTGCTCGTCCGCGAGAAGGTCGGATTGGGGGTTACGGGGCCGATGGAGCGGAGGGACGCGGCGAAGTCGGGGTCGCGGCCGTCGAGGTCGATGACTGGAATGTCGTTAGCTTGTTAGCTATCCTTCTTACCCAGCTGATGGGGAGGTATTCGTACCCGCTGATTTTGTTGTGGAAGCTTGTTCCTTGGGGAGAGATGGAGCTTGCGATTGAGCTTGGAATGGCTGCGAGAGGTTTGGTTCTCTGGGGGGAACCTGTGCTGCTGTGCTTGGCGTTGGTGCGGCCCTGGAAGCTGCAGAGGGCTGTTTGGGGTATTGGCGTCGGGACACGGCGCTGGCGGCTGACCGAGCCGGTTTGGATGCGGAGGAGCCCATTTTTCCTCCTGGGATATATAGATGGTGACGTTCTGATGGTTTTCAAGTGTGAAGCTGGGTTGGTAGAGGCGGAGAGCTTTGCGGAGATTCTTCAGAAAATCAAAGACCCGCCGGACTAGCCCGTCTTGGTCAATGCTGTGGCCGCAGAAGTGACGTCAGGCCGTTGATTGTTATGATTATTTTCTGTTTTTATGGCTGGAAGTCAAAGGTACCAAAGTAATATTTTAGAGATTGAAGTAAGCTATGGTATAGTGTTGTGGTTTTTTTAACGCGCGATGTAAAATGATATAGATAGTATATCAGGGTTCAAGACCGGTCCTACTAGTACAAGCGCATCGCCTCATTTCCTAAGTCTGCCAGTAACCAGTACTATGCGCATCTATCTGAGACCTGCAAGACGTCGGCCCTGCACTTCACCAAGAGCGCGGCTGCCGCTGATGAATGCGACAACTCCGGCCGCAGCGACAGCTGGAAGAATCTGGAAGAGTGTCCAATGGGAGTAGTAGAGGAAGAAGATCCATTCGATGGAAACCAGAGATCCCAGGAAAACGGCGTGGGGAATCGGGGCAGACTTAAAGGCGGTCGGCAAATGGTTGAGGTTGACACCAATGAAGAGCCACTATACGAGTCAGAACATGGACAACGTCGTTTGGAGGAAACGACTCACCAGGCCACCGAGGACTGGAAAAGCAGCTAGCACCATTCCAATGAAAACCAGAGTCACAATGACGGGAGGGCTCTGAGGATCAGTCTTGAAGATATGGTGAATCTCGGACAGTTTGCCATATCGCGAAACCTCGACGGTCGGTAATGGTTCGTCGGGATTGCGGGCCACTGTCAACGGGAAGGCAGGTTCATTGTACGCCTGAGAGCTTCCAAACGATCCAATGACAAATCTGGCGTCCAAGGGTTCGGCGACGGAGAGGAATTGAACGGGGAGGTCTTTTTGAGTCTAAGCTCGCGGGCCACGTCAGCTGTTGAGTAACTCAGTACACTCGACCTCTGCTTACCAGCTCAAGCCTTGATTTGCCATTGTCCTTGACGGTAAAGGGATACGAGATGTCTAAGCCGGTTTTGGGATCTTGAAGAAGGAGGAAGACTTGGTGAGCGCGTTTGGCTGAGCTTCCTTCCTGTACTGTGAGTATCACTTTAAGGGTATCGGAGCTTCCGAGCGCGACCGGTTTGGAGAGCGGCTTGTTGTCGGGGATTCTGCAATTGGTACCATCATTAGCATGTTAATTTCTTAAATAAAGTGTCAATGAATGAACGACTGTACTTTTCCTTCAGTCCAGAACCGACACCTGCGCCTTTGGTTTGAACTGACACGGTGGCATCAGTAAACCCCCACGAGGATGCCGCTGCGGTCGGGATTGTTGCTGAAGCCAGCAGACAGAGCTGGAGAGCAGTATGCCAAAGCTGCATGCTGAGTCAAATAATCAACAAAAAGAAACTAAAAGACAAAAAGACAGGTAGTGCAGTCGAGAAGACAGAACAATGCAATGTTCTGGTGTAACTGCGGAGACTTGAAGAATCGCGGAAGCGCTAAACAACGGACCTCCAGATAAGCGCCGGGACTCCCTGATAGTCAGAGTTGGGGCATCGGCGTCCACCTGCTCCGCGCAAGCCCTAATTATTTCCCGGATTCCTGCAGTTCTGGCTGTCGGCCAAACACCTCATTCTCTCCTCGACCAGCTACCTGCTGTCAACGTCCCTGCAGCGTCGCTGTGACATCGTCGATCGCCTCGATTATCGCTCCGGTAGTGATCGAGCATGTCGTTTCCTGCAGATACCTAATTACAGGAACCTTTTTGCGCTTGCAAATCGATCGACCTGAACCTGTCCAACTCCTCGCCTCCGCTGCACCGACACGTAGCCACCGTCATTACCTGCCTTTCCATCCGAATTCTACATCATCCTACTATCGATATCGATACTATAAGGTCATAACTATTTGGAGATAAGGTGTCCTAGTATGTAAATATCCTGTTTGCCGCTATTCAAACAGGCCGGTCGTTGCGGAGTGGCCATCCTGCAGGGATTGCCGCTACGACTCGTCTGCCTGGGGTTTGCTCTCAACTTGGACACATTCACTGACTGTTCACTTTGCATCAGGTGCTAGGGTTGGCGAAAACACAACACATCCTTCTCGCGTCTCGAAACATATTCAAATCTCCATCCTTTCCTTTCCTAATCCCAACTGCTACTACCGCATACTCCGCATACTTCTCCACGTCTCGAAACACTTTACATTACAGACTTATTTGAATACCTGAATCTGGATATTTACTCAAGATCTCTTGCAAAAGTCAAAAGTAAGCGGCAAACACCGAGTGTTGGCATGTCTCGCGCTGTGTCCCTCAAATCGAGGCTCCTAACTAGGGCTTCAACACAATACTTTCATTCCTCTGACCAACGACTAACCCAAATATAGTGGCTAAAAGAGATTCTGTTCCCCGCGACATGATGTCTCTGAACACTGTTTTCGATAGAACTCCTGTATGTGTCTTACCATCTCCGTCCTTTCCATCTCTAACCGTTTTCCAGAAAACAAACTCTCGACGTAGCTCCTCTCATCACTCACGTAAATCAACAAGAGAGCCAGAGTCGACCAAGATTAAGATGGCTCAGACCTCTTACTCACTACCTCCGACCCCTATCGCCTCTTCTTTCGAAGAATCAGCGCCATCGACGAAGCGTCGTAAATCCCAACGTCCAGTTGATCTCAAGGACTCCCAGCCGGAGAAGATCACCAAGACTCCGGTGCAAAAGAAAGACGATGTTCCTGCTTCAGAGTCTACAAGTGATGCCAAAAGTGGCAGCCGTAATCGAAAGTCAGGCAAGCCGAATGGTCACGCCGCTGATGCAGGTGACCCGCAAGGCCATCAACTGACAACTCCTACTACTTCCAATGCTAAGCGCAAGGCGCAAGCTCCGCCGTCTAAGTCAAACTTGCGCGCCTCTCATAAAGATCCTCAGATGAAACGCAAGTCTCTGGGTACCGAGGCCGAGCTGGCCAACGTATCCAGAGACAAATCCGGCTCGAAGTCGTCGACCATGGCTCCTGCAAAAACGCAAAACGATCGCAAGGCAAGAAAGTCCATGCCTGCGAAGCTCAACGGTGTGAGCGACAAGAAAGAGACTGTCCATCCTAAGTCCTCTGTCAAACCCTCCGCTTCTCGCCCTTCCACTCCGGCTCGCGTTGATCGTAAAGCCAAGCCAACATCTCAAGCCAGCGCCAAGGCGACCAAGTCTGCCAACAAGGTGGCTCAAGTTACATCAGCCAAACCTGCTACCCCCGTTGCCCCCAAGACTGAAAAGGCTGCAACAGCCGACTTAACAACTCCCGCCGCTCAGGCTAACGCAAATTCACGCGACTCTACTGCCAGATCCCGTCGTCGTGATCGCAAGTCCAAGACCGGGACCGATCGCAACCTTGGGAATCATATCCAAGAGTCGTCGACCAAGCACAATCACAATCCTCCTGTCCAAATTCACGCGACTCCATCTCAGCCTCCCTCTGTCCCAGATCCTACCCTCGAAGCAGCTCAGCCTCTTTCTCACAACATAAACACCCGAAGCTCGCGAGCCAAAACCGCCGCTAAACTTCTGGCTGTCGATAAGCCTCTGGAGTCACCAGCGACCCTGATGGTTCTTGAGACCACCCCATACAATGAAGAGGTCGCCGACAGTGTCGAGGGGACGCCTGTGCAAGCCTACCGTGACAACTTCCATTTCGAATATGGCCCTGAGATGTATGGTAACCGCTTCGGCCTCGACGGCCAGGTGGATGGCCCGGGCTCACCGACGAGTCTATCCACTGGCACGTCCGCTGCTGCGAGGACCTCCAGTCGCATTCGGAAGCCCACCATCAAGGCTCTGGAGTCCCTGGAGTCGGAGCGACAGTTCCGCCGCTCCAGGGCTGCATCCAACAAACCCGAGTCGACGGCGGATCTGGGGCAGAAGAAGGGAGGCGCGGCCCAGCCTGAGCATCAGGTCCCGGCATCCGCGCAGGCGTCTGCCGCTCAGCAGCCTGACACGGCATTTATTGCCAGACGGCTGCTTGAGCTGGCGGTGGCAGCTGTGTCTGCAGACCCTGCGCTGGATGCCGGGCTTGATGCCAGGCTGGAGAGCCTGCGCAGAGAGTTCGACGCAGAGCAGCGGGGGCAGGATGGAGAGGGGGCGGGGTCGGAGGGAGAAAGTAGGCCAACCTCGAGCCTGCCATTTGGTATGGACAAGACGAAAGTATCGGAGCCGTGGACTGACGAGGATGGTTGGACGCATACAGGTCTTCTCAACAAGTTTGGGGAGGAGTACGTCTTCGTCTCTTCCGACTTTGAGTGGGTTCATCTCACCAACACCTATGGGGATGACCAGCTTCCCCAGCCGCCGGGGCGATTCAGGTCGCGCGAACAGGCGGAGAAGGACCGGATCTTCGGCTACCCGCCGCGGCTGGGGGAGCGTAATCTCCCGCGGCAAACGAATCTCCCTTTTCGACTGGAGGACGTTGACGAGGAAAAGGCTAAGGTCAAAGCACGAGACGCAGCCCGTCTGAGGGGCATCCCGGTTGATCGGACGATGTCGGCCGCGGAGATTGGGGCCTTGATCGCGCAGCATGACAACGCTGGGCAGAGTGAGCCTGCGAAGGAGAAGCCTGCCAGTGGTTCGCGCAAGAGAAGGCGCACGGAGCCTATCAATGCTACCCCTGACTCGACTGCAGGGACCAAGAGACGGCGACAGAATCCGAGTGCTCCAAGTCCCGCTGCCGCCGCCGCTGGTGCCACTGCCGAGAAATCAAGTCTTACGGTGAAGTTCAGGTTCTCCAACCCCGAGAAAGCGGCGGCGGTGGCAGGGCTTTTTGGGGCAATGACATCCAGCCCATCGAAGAAACGCCTTCTCGCCGAAGTGGAAAATGACGGTGAGGGCAGTTCGCCTAAGAGACGCAAGCCATCGCCAGAGACAGCCAGCCCCGCCGATCAGAACCAGACACCCAATGGTCGTCCGCGGCGCCGTGCGGCAACGGCTCTGTTGGCCGATTTTCAGTCTCACGCCGAGGAGAGGGCGCGCCGGGCCGCTCGAAAGAAGGTCGCTACTCCTTCGAAACAGGGAGGCGGGAGTGCTGAAGGTGTGCCCATGAAAAGCGCATGATTCGGCTACCTGTCAGTATCTGTTCACTTGCATTCTACCTCGCCTTCTTCGCACCTCACTTCTACTTCGAATTACGCTTACTTCGCTGGCCTCTGCTTTCTCTCGATCGCTTTCTCTCGATCGCCTTCCTCGTCACACCTCCAGTTGATTCAACCCCGCCTCACGTCACTTTGGCATCTCAAGGCTCGACTATCTGTTGAGTTGATATCGCTTGGCCTATGTTTTACTGGGTCTTTGCCTCACTTCACCGGGATGAAGCTGATTTCGTGCCATTATTTGAAGTCAATCTACCAGCCACTTACATGTCCATCATCTGATTATTTCTTACTATCACTATCCTCTTTCTTCATCCGCGATGATGACTGCACATACAGTCAATCTGGGCTGAGTTCTGATCTTCGCTATCTACCTTTGGAGACTGATCATCTAACTTCATCTCCGTCTTATCTCTTTTCTTTGAGACTCGAGACTCAATTTCGTTGAAGCTCTTTTGCTATGATTGGCGCGAGGCAACATCATCTTTACCTAATCTAATCACACTGTTGTCGCATGGCGTTACGAATTGAGTACATGCATCAAGCACAGCGGCATTCGGTGGACTCTGGGCTCTTCTGTTCATCTGGCGTTTGTGATATTCTCATCGTTGCTCTTGTTGTTTCATTAAACTCTGTCAGGTGATTGGGCCGAGCTGGACGCTGCGGACCTCCCTTGACGTTTCTGTTATGCTAAGCCTTCAGCAGGAACCGACACGCTGCGTGTGAGGTGCCGTTGATGGCGACTGTAAGTATCATTTCTTTCACCTGTACAATCCTGGGGTTTGAGCATATCGGATCCGGCGCAAGCAACGGGTCATGGATGCATAAGCAATTGATATTAGCGGCGGATGTGTTTAAGAATGTTCCTTTAACGGCATTACGACAATCGATGATACGAACCAGATCTGTGTAATTGTAGCCAAAGAACCCCCGATATTCGTAGAACTGATTTCTACATGCCTTAGGCATCAAGGCATCAAGGCAAACTTTTCCGCCAACCGCACACTCGTCACGTCTCGGTCCTTGACCTTGTAACAATCCATTCCCTGCATCATCTTCATCTCGTCCTACTTCGTAGTACCCTACAAACCAACCAGAAAAGTAAACAATGACAAAATCAACCCCCACTTCAAAACCCAGAGTCATCGTCGACCCGCAAACCCTCTCGCAGCGACGAACGACCCGCCCGCGAACCCAAGCCCAGAGAACAGATATCCGGCAGACGAAGGAGTACAAAGTTGCCGCTAGACGGTAAGTTTTAGCCAGCTCTACTCTCGGTACTAAATTGATGATGTGATGATAGTTGGTTATCGACGATTGTGGCGCTGCCAATATTTCTGTATACGTCGTGGGTGTTGTATGATCGGAGTATGTGCTTTTCCTTCTTACAAGAATTGAGTTGAGCTGATGTTGTTACTTGCAGCGTATGGGAACAGTAAACCGAAGCGGTTAGGGAGACCGTCTACGGAGGAAAAGGAGATTGAATAGATTCTTTTCATAGGGTTGTATAATAGTTGATTTTGTTCCTGTCTTGATGCGATAGATGTACCATATCCAACTCCAATTGCAGAAAGCCAAACTATTCAGAATCGTCCATCTCAACACCACAGATCCCTAGTATCAACGAGGCCATCGAGCGGCTGTCCTCCAGGTGACCGATAAAGGCAACATAGCTTCCTCCTCCTCCTCCTCCTCCTCCTCCTCCTCCTCCCTCCTCGGTTTCGGTGTCGTTCGCGGGTTTGACCTCGTGGATGGCAACAGGGCAATCGGCACGAAGCTTTTCATCGTCGTCCTCCCCATCTCCATCTTCATCATCTTCGTCGTCGCCTTCATCCATCTCCTCATTATCCCCCAGATATCCCTCCTCGTCACCAGCCACCTCACCCTCAGTCTGAATCTCATCCCACTCCCCAACAACCGTATCCGGCGTCTCAATCCACGGCCTCCGATGCCAAAGCGTCCACCGGTTCATCCTCTCCCCCTCCCCAAACTCAACCTCTCCATCTTCACAACTCACCAACACTTTTTCCTGCCGCGGGACCCCCCGCAGAAACACACCCCGGATATTGGACCACCGGCGGTAGTTCCTCGCCGCTAACATCCCCGGAATATGTGTCTGTAGTTCCATCGCTACCCGCTGCCGCGATGGCCCCGCGATGGTCCAGTTGAGGTCGAAGTGTGTCTGCATAAAGGCTGTAAAGGAGGTGGGGTATCTGGCTGCTGCGCGGGGGAACTCGAAGGCGAAGATGAGGGAGTATGCGTGGTGTTTGAGGAGGGTGGGGAGGCGGGTGGGGAGGCCTTCTATAATTCCTCCGGTTTCAGACTCAGTTTCAGCTGAGTTTGAGCTGGAGTTTGGGTTGTTGCTTTGGGTTAGACGAGGTGGGAGGACAGGAACGTACTCGTCCGCGAGCATGATATCCCCCGTCGTGACGATAAAGCCCGCAATCTCGTCTGCGTGCTCGTCAACCAGCTCGTTCAGGTCGTAGACGTTTGTGACGCAGAGGAGGCGGGCCTCGCGCTGGAGTTTTCGGACGAGAGAGAGGTATTTGTTCCAGGTGTTGATTCGGTGGGAGACGATGAGCACGAGGATGGGTTTGGTGTAGTAGGTTTTGTCGGTTTCGGGGGGTGGGAGTGTTTCGATGGGGAGGTAGTGGGTTATGTCGTAGATGGGCATTTTGCATGTATTGCTGTAAGGCTTGAGTGTAGGTTTGACTGAACGAGAGATGAGAGTGATGAAGAGAAGATATGAGGTTGAAGTGAGAAGGCGAGGAACACGGCAGTTGATTCAAGTAAAGTGAAGTGAATGGCTAGAGCAACGGTCTATTGAAGTACAGCAGAACAATGGCATCTCAACTAAAGCACTCTCCCCAGTTCCCTCCAGATCTGGCCCAACTCAATCCCTTGACAAAGTCATTCAGTTTGCATCTCCCCAGCTTGTCCACATCGCAGCCATGCAGTGGCACAACCCGGTCATTAATCAAAGCGCGAACAAGAGGCTCCTTTTCCGACTTGCATTGCATCGTCTCGAAGTAGGCTCGCGCGCCGAAAGGCACCGCCCAGGACGCAGAATACCCGTCCGACTCCTTGGTGCTTTCCACAGAGGTCTGCGACAGGGGCTCGGTGCCATTGTACAGGCCCATAGCAAAGAAGATGGGGATCATGCCGTTGTCGTGCGAAAAGTCAACGTACATGGTAGCGTTCAATGGGAAGGTGGCCGGGTTGGAGACTAGAGTCGAGTTGGTGCTCGTGTGGTCCTGCACTGGCGAACGGGTCAACCGGGCAATCAGCTCGTTGGTGAACCCTATCCCCTGAGCCGGTCCCAGCGGGTTGCCTGCGCCATAGCCGTAGTACTTGCCCAGGGACTGGAGGTAGTCGTACTTCTTCCACTCATTGTGAGTGAAGAGTCCACAGAACGGCGACAGCTGACTCGCGTCGCTGGTGCGCGCTACGGTATCAAACGAGCACATGTCCATCAGACTGACAACGTCATCGTCTGTCAGCTTCACCCCAGGAAGATGCTTCTCGGCGTGGGCACGGATCGAAGGTGCAAACAGCGCAGTGAAATTGGCCTCAACCTCATCCCCCAATTCGCTCGCCTCAAAGTTCGTGCACACACTGTGGTCCAGCGTATTGTTGAACGTCTCGCTCTCCGGAATAATAACACTAATCACTGAAGCAGCGCGGTTCGTTGCGCCCGAATCCGCCAGCTTCGCCTGCTGGAACCCCTCGATGAACTTCTCCCCAGAAGCAATAACCCGGTCCGAGCCAGACGAGCGAATAAACGGCACCACACTGCGCGCAAGAGCCTTGTACCTCTGGTAGAACTTGATTCCCGAGTTCACCATCTGCTGCTCTCCAAAGGGAGTGAGGTCGTCCGCGCCCAGAGTATAGTTGTACGTCTTCAAAAAGGCAAACTTGCCCTTGAACGAAGTGGCATTGGCCTGGATTGCCGTCACAAGCTTCTTATACTTCTTGCTCTTGGAGCTGGTCGGGTACCGCGCTCCATGCCGCGACAGCACCTGCACAAAAGTCACCCGGCAATCCTTTGGAAGCTCACTCGACACCGACAGCTCGTCCTCGAGCGAAAAGAACGGCGAGTACTGGCCCCATAGATGAGAAGTCGCAGGGGAGCATTGGTATCCGAGCTCTACCGTATCGCAGGACTTGGAGCCAGCAGAACTAGGTGCCGCAGACACGCTACTCGAACCACAATCAGACCACAGCCCTAGCACAGCAACAAAATCCGAACCACTCACCGGGATAGCAGATACGCTACCGAAAGCAGGAAAGTAAGAGTAACCATGATACCGACAATCAGGATTCTGATTCTGGTTCCCCCTTCGTTCAGAATTCTAACCCTCAATCTGAACGGGAAACCGTCCTCCCCCCGCCGGACACGCCGGCCATTATATAGCTCCTTCATCTCTTCCCACCAGACTCATGTCGCACTTCCCTTCCGCATATGAAACGGACGTCTGAGCCTAGTGGAGCCCAGCTTGCCTGTCCACCACGCCGCCAGCAAGTTAGCAGCCTCGGAGGACGAGTAGCCTATCGTCAGTGGAGCGATTCGTAACACTGTCGCGTGAGAGCAGGGCATGTGTCCCAACCAAGGATGATAGCACACAGAAACTTAATCGAAGGAGAGATGCCATAATGTTGGACAAACCGATGTGTGGTGATGTGCGAGTGTCTGATAGGCTGGGCGGGAAACCACGTGGGTGCAACCGTTGTGGTGGTTGGGGAGTGCCTGGCAGCCTTAAGACTGACGGCCTGAGATACCGAGCCGGGAGTGCGGACTATGTGGGGGGCCTTGGTGCCTGGAATGCTCCCTAGCATACTCCGTACGGAGTCCTGAAATAAACTCTATCGATATTTAATTTACACTCCATACTGTCCAGGCAAACCAATTCAGCAGTATATCAAAGAATAACAACCAAACCACGGAGTAAATACGAAGCAAATACGAAAGTATGAGACTGAGATTAATAGCGCTTTAACAGCCCTATTGCCCAGACCCAGTGCCGCAATCTAATCTGCCTCTACGAGAGTAATATATATATATATATGTACGTATATCAACACCACCAATCGAACTCCCTCTCATCGCAACGTGTGCAACAGATAACTTCCAGAAAATCGCTAATGTGCTCCATGCAGCATCATCCATGCACACTTGCTTCTCAAAACTAATTATCTTTGCTTGTGATATGGCACACATGGACCCTGCAGATGACGATTCTGCGACTAACATCGGAGCAATGTTTCAGAGAAATTAGGTATGACGATCATCGCGCGGTTTATTGACTCGTTTGGTGGCGTGCGCTCTACGAGGGAAATAGATGCAGGAGATGCATTGGAGTCACGGATCAGCAGTGACTGCTCGGGCTAACGGAGTTGCTGAATGTAGCACCAGCATGTGATTGTATGAATGTATAGATGGACGACCTGCTATATTGAGATAGTTTGATGGATGTGTTGAACGGACGAAGTCAATCAGAGGTAATCACCAGGTTCTTATCCAACGCCTGTCAAATCAAGGACAGCTTTCTGAGCTATGTACAAAGATGAGTTTCACTTGCGGCAATCTAAGTCAACTAGATCACAATTTGGCCTCCCAGAAACCCAAGAACATTTATAGAAAAGGCTCGATGAATATAAGCTCTCGGCCTTTCAGCCACAGTCAAAATGAGGATGCAAATTTTTCGCGCAGAGAACGCTCCCAATGCAAGCACGATGCTTATATTCAAGGAAAGTGACAGTAACAATCTTGAGGACGACACAATAAGATAAAAGACAAATGAAAGGATAATACATAATCCGGAGAGGTTAAGCTCTCAGCGGATATAGGCAACGATTCACAGGTCGGTCTGCTAGGAACGTGTCCAGTTCTCAGACAGCTGGGGTAGTTGCTTCGCCTGTTGTTCATGAGCAGTCACTGGGTATGAGACACCGTTATGCCAGCTTTCTCGTCTGACAGGTAATCCAGAAACTGCGTTGGAGGCTGACGGTTTTCCGGGTGATCCTCCTGTAGCATTCATGGCACCTCTGCTCTCTGCAGCGGACCACGTTATTTCAGCTTCCCGCTCTGGAATCGGACGGTACGCTTGAGGGGACGGCGGCCGCGGTGGAAGCTGCCCCGGCGGTACGAAGCGGGTGACATGCTCTCGGTAAAAGTCCCGCTCGGATCGATAATAATCGCGTTGCTGCATCAGCTCCCGAATTTCCTGCGCCTGTTTGTGCAGTGCCTCCTGCTGCTTCCGGATCTCGTCCTGTTGTGCCGTGATCTTTTGCTCCATCTGCATCTCATTTCTCTTCCGATTGCGGAACCTTCTCGAGGCATCGCTGTTTGCCTTTCGCTTCTCTGCCTGGCTTGATGACCCGGACTTGAGGTCCAAAATACAGGGGATCATCCCAGGCAAAGGCGGGGCATTCGTAGGTCCTCCCATCGTGGGTTGTTGCTCGTCTCCTGCCGGCCCGTCACCGACAACCGACGGCAATCGACTGACCGGTTCTGACGTTCCATATACCTGGGGATTAGCGAACGATGGTGCAGATTGTGGGATGGGCATCCCCACGATTGCTGGCGACGATCGACCGAGCGGACCATAAATGGAAAGAGGAGTCGTGGGGCTCCTCTCTTGGGAGCTGGGAGTAGGGGTCGGATTCACGCTCGTCCCCCGACTGTGGAAGGTTCGGGTGGAGTGGATGGAAACGGGTACTGGGGCTATGGTTTCGGGTCCATGATTCGGGTTCACTGTAGCATTTTCCAACGGCAGAGGCGACCCAGAGGACAACCGATACAATCCCGGCCGTGACTCCTGAGCTAGGGGAGACTGTATAGCACTGTGCTTCCTAGCGTACGGCCCTCCGGCTCCGACAAACCGAGATGTGGGGGAGACAGGCGAGAGAATCTGACGGTTCACCGACCCAGGGGAGAGCGAACGCCGTTTGGCAGGATGTATCGACGGCGAAGCCAGACGAAGCGTTGGCGATGAATGCAGTCGGACATGAGAAGCAGGTGCAGAAGGGGAACATGGAGGGGCGGATGACTGAAGTCTGACCAGACTCAGGTTATCTCCCCCCGAAGGTACCAGGCAAGGAGGAGCAGATTTTGTGGGGGAATTCAGTATGGAGAGCACTCCAATAGAGCGAAGTTGGGCAGCTTGCAACGGGGGCTCCACTGGAGCAGAAGGGCGCCATGAGAGCGGCCGAGGACGCACGAGATCACAGACCTCGGACGAGTGAGAATCATCGTCTACACGAGCTCGCTTCTTTTCGGACAAGCTGCATGAGTCTGGGCGGAGAGAATCGTCCTTCAACGGTTCAGAAGCCGGTGGAGTGTGCGACATGTGCTCCTGTTTACTTTCCTGATACTGTCGCTGAGAGTTGGGGCATGACGCAGGGCCCCCCCTCTCCCAGTGTATATCGGAGAGAGGAGAGTGAGAGAGGGAGCCGGTAGGCTGGGGAATATGATAGCCAGACAGTGACTTATATTGATAAGGAAGATGCACAGGATTGGAGTAGGAGGTAGTATTCAAGCTGATCCCTAGAGTAGCCAGGTTGGCGGATGAGAGTCGACTATAAGATGAGAGAAGAAAGTCGATGAAATCGATGAAGATGAGTAGTGAGTCAGAGGAATATAGACACTCAGTCTTCGTTCTCTTGGGAAGAGTG